AATACATATTTTATTGATGAAAATTATAATATAATTCTATTACACTTATATTTTATATATATTGTTGTACAATATAAATAAATATAATATATTTATTTTGTAAATTTTTCTAAAGTATCTATTACTTATGTTTCATTGTAATATTATATATAAAATATTAATATGTACAAATTGTACTATAAGAATATATTTATAGTAATCCTTATTACTCAAAAGTCTATAATTATTATATATTTATTTAGAAATATTTATTGTACATTAATAAAAATTGTTTTGCTTATAAATAGAATATACCTTAACAAGGAATTATTATTATTGATTATGTATTTTCAATACATTGATTTATATATAATAAATGATATTTTTATTTTAAAAACTACACCAATATGTATATTTTTAAATAATATACTTATTTATATTTTTTATGATATATATAATTGAGCTTTTATATTTAATAAATATATAAATCATTATTCATGTTTCATAAACATTGTATAATTAAAATATTTCTTTAAATTTAATTAAATTAACATAAGCTATTTAATTTTAGCATTTAAATTTTTTTATCTATATAAATGAATTAATAGATTTTTCTATATTTTAGAAATATCATCGATTATTGTCTATTATATAACAATATATAAAAATATACATTCTAATAATTAGTTTATTTTTAAAAAACATTCTAGAACAATTTTTAATCCTATTATCTTTCTTTTAATATATTTTCTCTTTAACTACAATTTTATATTTTGTTACTACTGTGTTAGAATTTTTTATTATAGTTTTGTTAATCAATAAAAATCTATCTTTAGTTAGTTAGTTCATTATATATTTGTATTATGTGTAATCATGTGTGCCATATGATATTTTGTGCTTTCTATAAATACTATCATTTCTTGTTTTTTCAATTGAATTCATTAAATTTAGATATTCTTTATATTTTTTTCTCATCATTCTTCTTAATTTTCCTGGTTTCCTTTGTAAGTAAATACCATAACGTGTATACTAAAAATAAAGAAATAATATGGCATTTATATGAACATATTATTAATTGTTAAATTGTTTAATGAAAGATAATATGCATTATTATAATATATACGTTTACAAAATTAAATTTCCTTTTTACTTTGAATAGAATGAACATTATTATTATTATTGAAAATGTTAATAAAACTACACCTGCCTCATTTGTAGTAGTTGCAACTTGTGCCATTTTCTGTATTCCTTCTTGCTCCTTTATTTTATTAATAAATTGAACATAATCTTCATTATATTCATTTAATAAATTAATAAAACTCTGGTTATTCATGCTTTTAGATATTACAACAAGGTTTTCATATTTTTCTTTACAACTTGTAGCTACTTGGCTCGCTTGAATAAAATCTTTTCTATTAATATATCTTTTTAACTCTTCTAAATTTTCAAACAGTTTATCAAGATATTTCATTGTGTCAAATATAGAATTATTAAGTTTCTGAACATCAATGTTATTACATACAGTTGGCACAGTTATTCTAATTACGCCTTGTCTTTTTTGCATCCACTTAGTGTAGCAGTCATTTGCAGTATCGCACTCGGCTTCATATAATTTCACTAAAGCCTTTAGCTTGTAATAGAAATAATTACAATATGGTCTTATGTTAAATTCTGAATCTCTATTTTTTTTGTCCTTTATGCTTTCTAAATAAGCACCTAGTATAATGCAACTGTCCTGAAAAGCAACTTCACCATATCTCAAATTTATACTCTGTCCAAAATCATTACACAACTTTGAATAATTATTTATATATTCCCAGGTATTATACTTGTTAAAAGAATTAAAATTATTTCTACATTTGGGAAATATTTCCTCAAAATTAAACTAAGAATTGGAAAATAAACGTTTTACAAAAATTTAATATTATATTAAAATCATTAATAATTGTATTTATTTTCAAAATAGAGGTAAGTTTTGAATAACATAAGTAATAATTTTAATAGCGTGTAAATACATACGTCTTGATTTGGATTTATGGTGGAATCCATTATTTTAAAAGAATTCAGATTAATACCAACAATTTTTTATTTTCAGCATATTAAATTATTACGTATTAAACATGTCAGAATTAAAATTATACTGATATCATATATATTAAATTATATAATTTCTTATATTAAAAAAATATTAAATGTTTATATATTTCATTAATTCTGGTCACATTAAAATGACGGAGTATCCTTTTCAGGATCTTTTAATAACATTACATATAAATATATAATAAGAAATATACATTTAAAATGAGAAAGCAATATATAATGATAAATTATAAATATATTCATGTAATATATATATATATAGAGAGAGAAATATTATAATAAAATAACTATAATTTGTACTATCAGATATTAATATATATTTATACAATCAATAATTATTTTATTGTAATTCATATTCAAAATCAATTTTTAATTACATTTAAAATTTTTGTATGAAAGGACATAGTTATAATATGCTTACGGTTATTACTTAGTGCTACAGGTGTATAGTTTCATAATTATGGTTTGGGAACCTTTTTAATAATTTATTTTTTAAAGATGGATTTATTTTCATATAAAAAAAAAAGAAATTCTTTATTACAATTTCACATGATAATTTACAGGCGCTATGTTTAGATAGGGTTAAATATATTTAGTTTTACATATTATTTTATTGTATTTAATATATATTCAATATAACCCTGTATTGCAATAACATATATATATTTTTTATTTGTCTCATATATTTATAATTTGTAGTATTTTTAATTTTATTATATCATTAAATTATTTACTGTTAATGCAATTAGTGTATGAAAGTGTAAAAAATAAACTAGAATTCATAATTATATATATTATTCTTATTGTAATATAATAAATTCCATATTTCAATATTTATTGTGTCAATTTATAAGAATTTAATAAAATAATGATCTAAATTCCATAAAAATATAATTTCACTATAATATAAAATTATTTATTATTTAAAATATGTTATGCTCGTGTAAACAATTTTATACAAAATAGAGGGAATTTATTTGTTATTATAATTATAGATAACGTAAATTAATACTATAATAAATCAGTATACAATTAAATTTTTTTAATGATAAATAAATATTTTTTTACAATTCTCATTCTATTAGATTAATATGAAAGAATATAAATATGCGATTTATTATGGTCCTTTAGTATAGTATTAGTACTAAAAACATTTTAATTATATAATTTTTATAGTTATGATTTTTTTTTTAAAAAGGAACAGCTATATTATATAAATATACAATCTAATATATGTATAAAATTGTACAATTACACATTCTTTCTTTAACATTTACCTAACTTTTGTTAAACATTTTTATAGAAATAATATATTATTTTATTTATAAGTATTGTTATACAAAGAAACTTTTTTTACTTTTAGAAGTGAGGAATCTAAATACTATAAATTTCATACAAAAAAAGTATAGCTTTTTTCTAATAGACTATTATATATTAGTATGACATATACGCTATCTATTATAAAAAAATTAACTTTTTGAATATGGAGTTTTCTCCATATAATAATATTTTTTGCTTTCATATTTATAATACATTTAGAAATGGTTTTTTAATAAAACGTAAATAGTTAGATAAGGTGTTCACTATAATTAGAGCATTTACTCAGGTATAAATGAATAAATTGTCATATAAATCAAATGTTGTATAAAAAGTAAATAAATATTAAGTATAAATCTTGTTTGCTTAACATTATATACTTAAATGAAGAAGAATATATATAAATTATTATTATATATTATATATTATATATGAACATATTAAAATTACTAATAAAAATTGTATATTAAGATAACAAGGTACTTATGTATAAATAATATGATTAGAAATTGTAAACATATGTATATATAAAAATTTAGATATTATTACATAAATTGTATAATTTTTTTAGAATTCTTTTATTTATAAAAATTACATTATAAAAAGGTCTTTTACTGTGCTATTAAAAGGTTTAGTTATTTATTTTAAAATTATGTTACATTAATATAATTCCTTATAATAGTACATGATAATGAACCCCCATATTTTATCGGTATATCTAATAAAAAATAAACGCTGTAGTACTAATTAATATATAAAGTCCTCATTAATGTTACCTCATATAATTATTTATATATATGTTTATATAATTATTCAATTCATAAAGTACTCTTATGGACAAATTAATATATGAATTTTATAGGATAAATTTTTTCCTTTAATCAAATTGAATTGTATTTAAGTTTCATATAATAACACAAGAGTATAACATAAATAAAATGTAAATATATCTAATATCATGATGGATACATAAATAATTCAGATAAAATATTAAAAATGGACTAACAAAAAGCAATCCCATTTATTATTAATTAGATATTATCTAGTATTATAACTTATATAACAAAATATATAGCTATTTTATCTATAATCATTATACAAATTATATTTTATTACATTTTTTAATTTCATATTTTTATAGGAAAATTGGACGCTATAATATTGTACACAATTTTTCATTAAAAGTTTATTATATAAACATAATTTTACTATATTATTACCATGGTATATTTTTTAAAACAAATATGCTAATACATTATTCTTACATGTAACAATTTTTGTATTCACATTTATAAAAACAATTTTAATTATTCTGTTATTCATGGTTTTATTGGTTTTTAAAATTTTATACAGAAATGTACGGCAATACATACACATAATATAGAATATCTGTTCTCATTTATTCTATTTGATCTTTGCATTCTCGTTAATTACATAGTTATATAAAAAAAGTAATTTTTCTTATTGCATTTTTTACAGTTTCAGGAAGGTACAAAAATATAAAATTGACACCTGTACATGTAAAATCCATGTTATAATTTATGAATACAAAAAAATATATTATCAATATTATCTTAATATAAATTACAAATAGTAAGTATTATCAACATATTTTGACGACATTGTTATATGTTACATTGTAGAGTTACCTACATGTAAAATCATATCATTTTGTATTGCACATTCCTTTGTAATATTGGTGTTTTTTTGGATTATTATATTAATACATAATGATATATTATTATGTCTTTTTATTACTTCTTTACATTTCATTCCAATAATATTTTTTATAGATGTCCTTGATTCTGTGAATATATTAAATATTGAAAATTCTGTAATATATTATAGTTCGTTTTCTGAATTAGAATTAAAATAATTAAATTCTTTATTTTTCTCATAAATTATCATTTTATTATAAAATTTATTAATTATATCATTGTGAGATTACATGTGAAATTACATAGTAAATTTCATTAAATATTTGATAAGAAAAATATGTTATGCATATTTCAATTTACAATAACCATATATACTTCAAGTATATATTAACATATTAATATAAATCATACATTATATTCATTATAACTGCATTTATAATTATATATGTATTAATATTACTTTTTCATTTTAGTTCTATATATTTTCCTATCACATTTAATATATGCTAAGCCTCATATATATTATAACTTAGATTATATGCATGTTTAAAATTTTGTAAATTTTTACTATAAAATATAATATTTAATACACTCATTTACATCATATAATAAGTAACCCATCTTCCTACATTAAATATGATATGTATGAAATGTAACAAAATTTTTATTAATATGGAATTGCGTGGAAACTAATATGATACTCAATATTTAGGAAAATGTTGTTGAACAACTATTAAAATTCTAAATATGTATTATTAGATTTTTGATATATTGATAAAGAATATAATATAAAATTATATAATAAATATATCTCAATAATCTTAAAAAATGACGTCTAAATATGTATACTTTTCACAATATTCTTACTTGCATAAATGGAAATATATACAATACTTTATTTAATGAAACAACTATTATAAAAAAGCATAAAGTTATTTATATATACAAAGACAATATTGTTATCAACAATCACATATAATAAAATCCAGTGGAACAAAATATTTCAAAGTTTTAATTATATATATATAAACATATTATTATATAAAATATGATATTATATCTAAAAAAAAAAAATATAGACAGTATAAATACGAAAATATAATATATAATATATATATATTTATTCTATATTACAAATGTGTATACTTAAAAAATATTGCAAAAATGAGTGCATGAATATAAAAAAATCATATAAAAAACTAATTATTGTTATATTATAGTATTGAAAATGTAAATTCATAATTTATTATAAAATTATATAATTGAAGTACATATAATTATAAATTTTAATTTATATAAAAATATGTATAAATATATATATAATGAATATTAATAATATAATATGCATAAGCATATACAATGAAATTTGCGCACAAAATAAAATGTTTTTACTTATATATAAAATTAATAAATAGTACTTAAATAATATATATATATAAAGGTACTTCATAATAAAACACTAAAAAGAAAATATTTTTTAGAAGATAAATATAAATGATTAACATACATCTAAAACATAAAGGACAAGCCTTCGAAACTAATGATAATCTTAAATAATAGTACATTCACATATCCTTATTATATATATGTGATAAATAAAATCAGATTTATATATTTATCTAGTTAAAACTTTTTCTTTTGGTATATTTTATTTTATTTAATAAGCATGATATTTAATAATTTGATATCTATTTTTACAATAAAATTACATGTAATATAACATTATTTTATATATATTCATTATTTCTTGTGCGCTATTTTCTAATCGTTGCAATAATTATAAAAATAAGTAAATTTAGAGAAAACTTATATAGAATTAATATAAATAAGCAGAAAAAAATATGTTAAATAAAGGAACTGTAATTATAATATTTTATTAGAGATTTTCGTATTATTTTTTAATTATGTTTCTTCTACAATATGCATTTTATATATAATTTTATAGCGCCTGCATATTATTGCTCTGCCTTCTGTGTTATTTATCTAATTAAATTTGAGAATATTAAATATTTATTCATTATTTAGTTTGAGTATATATAGATATGTAGGATTTTTTTTAAGAATAAAAAAACTAAATCTATGCTTTCTATATGAAACATAGAATTTTATATATATTTTTTTAAATTTTTATAATTGCGTAAACGTGATATTAATTTATTATAATATAATGCAATTATTTATTTCGCAGAAGTCTCATGTATTAGAACGTATTATATAAATAATTCAACAACAAGAGCGCTCAAAAATACACAATATAAGTATAAATTTAGTTTAAAGTCTTTTTTTAAAAATAAAATATAAGTAAATGTATAATTTTCCTTCATATTATATAAAGTGCAAAAAAATTATAATTTATTAAAGGAAAAAAAAAAAAAGTAATAAAAAATTGGACAAAAAAAAATAAATAAAACAAATCCAAAATACTTTATCGAATTAATGACAAGTTTTATTTTTCATATACCATATATTATTAAAAGACATATGGCGTTATTTATGGATATGATAAATATGACCTAATATGATATATACAGTTTTACAGAATTGTATATGAATTATGTGTACTTGTATACATATATATAGTTAATATGCATATATAATAAATAGAAATGTGTGATTCAATAGATTTAAACTATAAATTTAATAATATATATCATAAAATTTAATTAAACTACATTTAATCATTAACGATGTTTGTAATTTTTATATGTATAAACATATTAGTTTGCATTATATATTAAAATTTTATAAATATAATGCATTCCATTGTGCAGAAAAGTTATAACAATTTAAGCAACAGCACATTAAATCAAGAAGAATGCAAAAAGCACATTTAGTATTTTTTATTCAATATACATAGGTATAGTGAATAAGACTTTAAAAATTATTAATTTATTTTATTCGAATCATGTATTCGTAATTATAAAAAAATTATATTCATTTTTCTTTGTTACATAATAATAATTATTTTATTTATATGTGGGTTTATTTAAAGTATTAGTAAGAAGATGACTTACAACACTCTATATGTGCTTTAAATATAATATTTTCTTCTAATTATACTTTTAATAATAATATTAATTTGCATTATATAATATTTGATATTCATTATTTCTTAAATTGGAATTGGACATTTCAGATAGATGCAATATATTACATTCTTTATCTGTAATATTATATATTTCTGTTTTATCCATATTTGTACATAGAAGATTTCGTCCATATGGAGTAAACTAACTTATAATGAGAAAAATTATTACATAAATTTCGTATTTATTTATGATAAATTTTTTCATATGAATATTTTTATAAATATTATATTATTGTATAAGCATATACATGTAATATAATTAATAACCTTATACAAAATAAATAGGAAAAACGATATTGCTAATGTTGAAACTATAGGAATTAATGTAAAAACTGTTGTATTATTTGTTTGGAAAGAAGGTAATGTTTTAGTTGTATCTTCTCCACAGTGCACATTTAAATTTTGTGAATCATATTTTTCTTTTATATTTATTAATTCTTTACAAAAATATGTGTTGCTATCGTATTTACATGTATCCATATGTTTTTTATATATTTTGGCACACTTCTTGGCACAGTCACAATATTGTGTACATGTATTAATTATACCATTTGTATGATTAAGCATTGAGAACATGTCATATAGATCTTTGAGATTTGACATTACATCATCTGTAACAATAGTGTTAAAATATTTTTCACATATATCCCTATGGGTTGTATCATCAGCATTGATCAATTCTTTATAAAGACTTTTAACTTCACCTACATATTTCTTATTATTATAATAATATAGCCAATAATACAAATATATACAACTCGAATCGTTAAGCAGTGTAGGGTAATAACTTTGTATTCTACTAGTATATCTCTGTAATTCTTCGCATATTGCCTTAATGTGAGTAACTAATTTTGCTATATAGTTTTCATTAAGTCCATTACAATTACCAGTCTTTACCTCATCTACACTGGATGTTGCTTTTTCCATAATAGACTGCAAATTAGGAAAATCCTTTGCTAATTCATACTGGGAATAAATAAAAAATTATTTTATAATAAAAATTATAAATTACTAAAATTCTTTTTATTAATTTTATATAATAATATTATATAAAAATGTTATAATTTAGCTATTTATATTATAATATTTAAGATGTACAATATTTTTAGCCATATCCCATATGTTTATATTTCTCTAAAGAATGCCTCGAGAAGAACAATGAAATATATGGGAATATATATAATGTTTTAAAAAATTAAAATTAATATTCTGAAGTAAAAGAATTTTTTCATCTTATTTAATTATAAAATTGATATAAAATTTGAATGAACATCTTGATTATTAAATTTTACACATAAAAAAATAAATAGCAACAATTGTAACATATATATTATACTTTTTACATATTTTAAGGAACAAACATAAATATTATTTGCTATAATCACAATAAATTAAAAAAATACGTTCATTGTGTCATTTTTTCAATGTATTAAAATTATGTATTTTTACTAATTGAATAAATACAAGAAAAAAAAATAATATAATTATATGCTATTAACAGAACTATATCAACAGTAATATTTATTGCTTCCCATTTGTATTTTTAATAGTGATTTGTATGATTTAATTAAATCTACTTAAAATATTAGAACATATAATGATTAAGAATAATTTTGTAGTTAATTTATTTTTCTTATGTAATATAAGATATAATCTTATAATTGTACGTTATGTCAATTTGCGTAAAAATGATATCAATACTATTTGTTAAATATAATTATGAATGTAATAATACTTATGACTTATAATACATTTAAATTATAATAATATATAACATTGAAAATTTTATTTTTATATTTTTTTATTTAACACATATAAATGAACCATATACCTATGCTGCAGAAACTAATTTAAAAAAAATTTAGACATTACCTACAGAACACATATATTAAGGTTATATTTAAAGATGAATGATATTTTATTTAAGAAATTCGTATTCCAACACTATATTTTAAATTTTTATTTACTTTGATATGACAAATATTATCATTTTTTATAGAAATAAAAAGAATATATATAAGAAAATTTTGGTTTAATAATATAATACATATATAAAATATTTTAAATCTGGATTTTCCAAGAATTAATTCTTCTTATAACATTTGAATAATATTTTATTTATGAGGATTCTATATATTATAATTATTCATTATAATTGTGTCATTCGAAGCATCTTTTGTGCATACAATAATAACACATGGTATGAACATTTAATTACGAGAATAAAAGTGACATTAACATAAAAATTGTTCCTTCTATGTGACCAAAAAAAGTAAAAAATAATATTTTTTTTTATTCATCGTACTCAATTTTTTATCTATGAATTTAATGATATAAAAAATAATTTTATATTATAAGTACATAGCTTGCTTACTTAAATAATTTTGTGTAGAAGTTAATTAACATTTATGAAAATTTTATTCATTGATAAAAAAAATATTCACTATTAAGATATAAAGAGTATTAATTATCATTACTGATTTCTATCATAATAAATTTTTTTTGCAATTTTATATATTTTTTATAATTCAAAAATTGTTAATTTTCAACAAAGAAACGAATTTAGAGGTATAAGTAATATATGATTTTTATTAATAATTCTACATATATATTAAAGAATTCATTTACTATATGTAAATGTTCTCCTTAGTTACATATTTATAACATATTCAACGAACATTTTACATTAAACTAAAAATTATTGCGATTATGAATCTATAAACATAGTCTCATGATAAAATTTAAAATTAATTTATTACAATACAACTAAATGTTGTATAACAAAGAAATATATATAAATTAGAATATCTTTCATGATAAATTACCTTTTTAAAAATATAATTAATTATCATGATTACTATGTAATATATTATTTTTTTCTAAATATAACGCTGAGAACTCTTCATTAAAATGATATTATAAATGAATTCTATACACAATGATAAGCTTCTACATAAATACGACACTGTAAGAGAACAGCATATTTTTTTAAAATAATATGGATATTCGTATATAGCGTTCCTCGTTTAGCATACAAATGAATTTATTATACTGTCCCCATGTAAGAAGCTTCTTAAATAGGGTGTATATGAACTATGCATAAAATTACAAATATAAAATGAAGAAACATACTGTCTAAATACATATATCCAAATGAGAAAATTCATCAGTTTATTTAATAAAAAATTAGATAAAATTTTATACTAATAGATAATGATGAATGAAAAAAAATATGAAATACATATTTAACATATGTTAGATTCTAACCGATTTTATAAACAATTTATACACGGAAAAAGTGTTTAATATATAAATACATACTAAATTTATGAGAAACATTAGTAGATGAATCATATATAACATATAATGATCATATATTTATGATTTTCTAAATATAAATTGTGTAATTCATAAAAATTATATATCATCAATATATTATCCTTTAAGGTTATAAGAATATTCAACATTATATATTCGTATAAAATATATATAAAATCCTAATTCGTAGATTTAAACATAAAATTGTTATTCTAATTAATAATTCAGATATTGTATGTCAAATTTGCTAAATAAACCTTATTCTGTAAATCATTATTTTGATAGTCATTAAGTAAAGTCTATATGATAATGTAAAAAATGTATCAAAAATATAAAATTAAAAAAAGGATAAAAATACTATAAATAATATCTGTAGGAAATGAAATAACAAAATATTATTCTTAAAATATATATGGTAAAAATACTTACTTTTTCTTAAATTAATAATAATAATTAGACAATATGCAAATAATAGCCCCCTATATTAAACAACATTTTCTAATATTTTCCTATATAATATTCTTATAATTCCATATTTAAATGAATTATATAATGTTTTAGAATGTTCATTTATATCCCATATTCTTTTTTTTTATTTTTATATGATATGTGATAATGATAAAGCACATAATTATGAAATGTCTTACATTTCTAATAAAACTCTCTAATTAAAACATTTTTATATTATAATACAATCATTAATACTAATAGATTTCTGTATTGGTATATGTTGTATTCCACATAAATTTTTTAATAAGTAGTGTCATATATTTATTGACGCTTATTTCTTACATTACCATTTTAATATATATAACAAAATTTTCTTGCTTTATTATGATCTCATATATATGTATTATATAATATAATTCCTTTTAAATATAGAATTAATTCATTAATTTATTTTTGTTCTAATCTAATTAGCTTATTCTTTATAATTTGAATGATTAATTCTGTAATAAATTGTTTCTTAAACTCATATATTAATGCTTTTATTATTTTTGATTGCAACATCGTAATATTAATGAATAATAAATTTTTTTATTTAGATATAGAATTACTGATACAATGTAGTATACCTATATATTCTTCCTGTTTTATTCTTTTTCATTTACGTGTGTGACCAAATTTTAACTTATCTCTTTTTATATATATAATGTATTTAACATTGTGAACAAATGAATTTTGTATACTTTTACATTTATCATATTTTTCAGAAAACTATTAATATTATTTAAATATACATGAATATAAAATCTACAAGAATTTACATAAAACTAGGTCAATCGTATTATGAAGTACATAGTATATATTAAGAAGAATAAACTACTTATTACATTTAATAATAAGGAACATTAATAAGTTAGAAATATATATATATTCCATTAATATATAGAGTGTGCATAAGACCTATACAATATATATGATTAAAATGTAGAAAAATAATTAATAGTTATGTATGTTTTATTATAATTATTAATATTTCTTGCTTTTTGTTTTCATATTTTTGGTATTTTTTTAAAAATAGAGTATACAATAATATGTAAATTGACTAAAATACGTTTTTTTCTACATTATATACGTTCGTAAGCTGATATTTCATATGGAACCTTATAATTTATACATTTATTAAAATAAAACAATTAATATTTCATAGTAGTCATTTACATAGGTTTGTTTATATACGGATGATAAAATTCAGAAAAAAGTCACATACACAATTATATAAAAAAAATAAATGACCACAACATGAAGAAGTTTAATATAAATGAGGATTACTTAATAAATTTTAGGACATTACTGATTTTTGTTTTTGTGGTTTTAAACAAGTACAATTTAATATAACCATAGTAAATGGATCATTAATTATGATATAATATAGACATACAGACATTAGACACATTCATTTAATAATGCATTGATATATATTGTATAATATAAAAACACTGAATAAATATATGTACATACCATGATTAGATAATTTATACTAATAAAACATATTAACCAAACATATAATATACAAAAATGCATTTCAATATACAATACACAAAATGTATTTTACCTAATTTTTTGGATAGAAAAGAAAATATAATCTATATATTTACGCTCATAATGTCGTAACACACTATATACTAAAGTATAACTTATAATATCTATATATATGTTTTCAAAATAACGTAAAAAACTTTAATTAAAATTCGTTCAATAAATATAGACTCAATTAGAATACATATTACAGTTTAATTAACATCACACCTTTTTATAAATAATAAGTAAAGGTGCATTTGTTTTAAATATATCTTATATATCTCATACCAAAAAGTGCAAAAAAATCAATATATTAGTATTTTATATGTATAAGTAAAATTTGTCATAATATATTTAATAATAGAATAGCATCGGAACACGAGAAAAAATAATATAATTATCATATTTTTCAAAAATATTACAAACATATTCGTGATAAGCATTAAAACAAAATAAGTGATGCTGTAGACAAAAGGTTTTACATATATTCATTTCAGAGATATTAGAGTTTTCAATTATTTTTTTATATGAAATGTCTTTTTAAAAATCATCGAACACAACTTATGTAATATATATATTATTAAATAAAATATATAATTTTCAATTTTCATCTTTCTTAATTTTACATGCAGCATATATACTACAAAGCAGTATAAGAAAATATGGATAATTATTTTTATTCTTTTGTCTATTCCATTATACCTTGAGCGGAAAAGAAAGAGAAGATAAAAAAATGTATAATTTCTTTAGAATTTTATTGAAATGTGAAT